GCCGGGAAGCGACGTGGCACAGGATGGAAGGGCTCCTCATCCTGATGGCCATCAACGACCCGAGGGCATTCACAATCAGCATGGTCCTCAATGTGCCCTTGAGAAACAGGTACCAGCCTTGATGTTAGCGTAGGAACTGACACATAACCACCGGAATGGTTATATGAGGTGCTTTATTGCAGCACTGGGAAACCAGGGGCACGCGCCCAAATCTGGCTTCGACCTCGTCACACCGTGTTCGCAATTTATACACTGAAAGTTACATAACTAATACATATGCATTAAGGATTGCCACATCAGTCTATTATGACATCAGCCTCTTCTGCGCTTGCGCAGCCCCCTCTGGTGGTCGTCCTGATGAAGTAAGGAGTCTTCCTCGGATGAAGTAAGAAGTCTTCCTCGGATTGTTCTTTTCACCTTTTTGTCCTCTGGACATATCCCAGCCATTATGTGGACGCCAGCATTGTTCTATTTTCCCTTGACTACCTCTGGTAATTTCTAGGTTCTGCTTGGATAGAATTTCACAATATATCTCTCTAAATTCACCCATACACCCTTCACCATATATGGTTATATAAGCTCTTGCTACCAAGACTACCATTGTATCACTGGTTACAGGTTAACCACGATACCGGACTGCAGACGGAACTGCAAAATTATAGCTCTTTCTAATCTACAAAATCACACTATTGATTTATAAACCTCTCAAACATAATCGTTCCTACCATTTTATATGATTATTTATCTTAAAAACTTCACTCTTTTCTAACATTGAGGGCTTGGTCCCTATGGCCACCAGACCCAAGGACCCACGGCAATGGATGATCTTAAGGCCCTTTCTATGATGCTGAGGATCAGGTCCCTGCATCCCACCCCATGGCACTGGGGCTGGAATAGGATAATCTTAAGGCCCTTTCTCTGATGCTATGACATCCCTGAGGAGCTGGTCCCTCCATCCCACCCCATGGCACTGGAGTTTTCATTGGATGATCTTAAGGCCCTTTCCATGATGCTGTGGCATCCCTGAGGAGCGGGTCCCTGCATCCCACCCCATGGGGAGCACCACCGCTAACCCCCACAGGACATCCCATGGGATGCATGGACCATGCTGACTCAGCGCCCTGCCTTCCAGCGCTGACGTTTACATGTGGGACATGGTCCTGACCACATCTGAGACTTCGGAGGCCCTATGGGAGCTGCTGAGGATGCTCCAGGGCACCCAGGACACCTCCATCCCCAACTTGCTTGTGAGTCCCAAAGGGCCCTGATGGCCTCCCATGAGCCCTACAGGCTCGATGGGGTCTCAATGCCTGTGTTTGCCTTTAGCCCATGGCCTCCAGTGCTGGTGGTGCTGAGGGCGCTGAGGACCCCCAGAGACTGCTGACACTGTCCTTGCTGCTGGAAAGGCTCTTGGAGCTGTCAGAGAAACCTGGCTTGGTGAGCGGGGCATGGCCATGGGGCAGGGCATGGGCATGGGGCAGGGCACGGCCATGGGGAGCCCCAAAACCACTGCAAAACCACCTTGTCCTGCTTCTCCCATGGGATAGAGGGGCAGAGCCCCAAAACAGCAACAAACAGCCTAAAACCAGCCACAAAACCACCCCAAACCAGCCTGAAACGACACCAAAACCACCCAAAACTACCCCCAAAACAAGCCAAAATCCCCTTGTATTGTTTCTCCTATGAGATACAGGGTCAGAGCCCGAAAACAAAACACCCCCACAACATCCCAAACCCCCCTTGTCCTGCTTCTCCTACGGCATACAAGCTCAGAGCACAAAAACACCCCCAAACCACCCCAGAACACCCGAAAACCACCTTGGCCTGTTTGTCCTATACGATACAGGCTCAGAGCCCCAAAACAGACCCAAAGCAGCCCCAAAACACCCCAAAACCACCCCAAAACTGTAGGTAGTTAGGGTCTGGCGATCGGAAGATGTCGCGCTGTACGGAAAGATAAGACCCCCCTCTGAGTAGCCAATAAGACCCCCCTCTGAGTAGCCAATAGGGCCTAACCTAGGTCGTAAGCAGACGGACGTGACGTTGTAAACCTAGGCTATATAACACCGTGTTACTCGCCAATAAACGCCATTTGCCATCCACCACGTTGGTGTCAGTGAGCTGATGGCCCGAGCGGCCAGGGGTTGGCCGTTGTGTCGTTCCTGAACCAGGTCGCCACGCCAACAAAGGCAACAAGTGGTGCCGAAACCCGGGAGTCATCTGGACAGGTGAACGACGGCCGGAGCGGCTGGACCAGCCCGGCGGGGAGGACGCTCCCAAGCAAACAAGGAGGATGGAAGCCCTTGTTAAGGTTGTATCTCAATTACATAAGCAGTGGGGTATTGATTGTAAGCCCAAAGATTTTACTCTCGCAGTCGCGAGGCTTTTACAAACTGGGGTCATTGACCAGCCAGTGGATATTCTCCACCCTGAGGTGTGGGATAAATGCACTAAAGTGTTGGCCGAGGAGACGATGTCCTCGGGTAGTGGGAAATACCTTAAGTCGTGGGGGAAAGTCGTACAGGCCCTGCGAAAGGCCATACAAGAGCAGGAGACCTGGACGGCAGCAAAGAACTGTTTGTTGGCTATCCCGAAATTGGGAGTCGGGGCAGCTACACAAACCCTGCACCCCCCAGACGGTGACGGCTCTACCGAGCCTAAAGATATGCAAGAAGGCGACACGCCTCCCCAATCCCTGAATCCTGACCCGCCTACGGAGGGACAGGAACGAGCAAAATCCTTTTGGGGAGGGCTGGTCGAAGAGGCCAGGGGCGCCGCGGAGAAGGCGGAGTCCGAGGCAATTAGGGTTAGACCACCGCCCTATGCGCCCAAAAATGGCGCTGAGCGGAAAGAAGGAGGGCGGGGCGAAGATATCCCCTGCGGGAAGAAGGAGGAAGTGCTAGAACTAAAAAGTGCGTGTACATGGGGGGCGGAGGAGAAGGAGGAGAATCGAAAGGGGGAGGGACGCGCGAGCGAGGGGCGGACAGCCAATCAGAGCGGCCATCTGAAAAAATGCTGTTGTAGGGCAAACACCCCGCCGAGCAGGGGGCGGGATAAGCCAAGAGGGCGGGGTGAGCCCAGAGGGCGGGAGCGGCCCGCGCGCAAGAGAAGCGGGCAGGGCCGGAGCCCAAAGAAAAGGCACGGGAAGCCGGAAGTAACTAGTCAGTCGACTTCCGACTCGGACTCAGACACTAGCTGGGACGAGTGGTTCGCAACCGATTCAAACTCAGAGGAGGAGGAAACGGAGGTAAACAAAGCTAAGAGCCGAAGGACTCCCATCCGGACTAAAGAGGAACGGCGAGGGGAAGGAGTCCCTCTCACAGACTGGAAGGAAATAGAGCTTGCATGTGCCGACTGGGCCCCAGCAGTCAAACTGGCATTCCCGGTCCGGGTAACAGACGGGGGACAGAGGGTCTATTCGCCAATAAATCCTAAGGATGTCCAAGCAGTTGTTAAGGCAATTGCAGATAAAGGGCTTAATTCTGCCATGGTTTCCACCCTCATAGATGGTGTTTTTGGAAGAGACGATATGCTTCCGTTCGATATAAAACGGGAATGGAGATGGGGATGGGAACAAGGATAGAGGCTAGTCCTTACAGGGCGAGGGTATGCCGCCGTCAGAAAAGATGGCAGAGTTAGGTGGTGCCCACTTAAATCTATTAAACCAGACCTCCAGAATAAAACTAATGAAAATTGTGAGTTTCTGTTCACAGGATTAGATCATCGAACGCCCTCGTAACTCGTACGCCCCAGTGACAAGAGGACGACAAGTCACTAACCCTTGAGTCTGTACCCAGGAGCTCCACACCAGCGGAACCCGAGCAACAGCGAAATAGCCCCCAAGGGAGGGGGCCGCGATGCCTTTGTCTGATTTTGATTTTGGGGTTTGTTACTGTAGGGCAAGTAGAATGATTGTGCTGGTATTGCTCTTTGGACCCTGTATATTGAATCGCCTTGTGTCATTTGTCAAGAGCCGGCTAGAACAGGTTAACATCATGTTTGTAGAAAGCCACCAACTACTTTAAGAATGTATCTACTCAGTATTACCCCCGCTTATCCCAATTTGTCCCAATTTACAACCCATCCCCTTAACTACCCCTCACTAACCACTTGCCCAAAGCCACTAACCACTAACCTGAAGTGCCTTCTACTGTAACATTTTATATGTATATGCGTACTTTTTTCTACTTTTCTACTTTTTTACTTTTTACATTAGCCTATTTAATTAAACATAGGGAGGGGGGAAATGTAGGTAGTTAGGGTCTGGCGATCGGAAGATGTCGCGCTGTACGGAAAGATAAGACCCCCCTCTGAGTAGCCAATAAGACCCCCCTCTGAGTAGCCAATAGGGCCTAACCTAGGTCGTAAGCAGACGGACGTGACGTTGTAAACCTAGGCTATATAACACCGTGTTACTCGCCAATAAACGCCATTTGCCATCCACCACGTTGGTGTCAGTGAGCTGATGGCCCGAGCGGCCAGGGGTTGGCCGTTGTGTCGTTCCTGAACCAGGTCGCCACGCCAACAAAGGCAACACAAAACCACCCCAAACCCAACCCCATTAACACCGTGCCCTCCTTCTCCTATGGTCTAAAGGATCAGGGCCCTCAAACCACCCCCAAACCACCCTAAAACTACCCCAAACCACCTTGTCCAGCTTCTCCTATGGGATACAGGGTTAATGACCAAAATCAGCACCAAAACAGCCCCAATTCAACCTAAAAACCACCAAAAAAACCACAAACCCCCCCAAACCACCTTGTCCATCTTCCCCTATGGGACACAAGGTCAGAGTCCAAAACACACCAAAAAGACAGCAAAACCACCATGAAAAACCACTCAAAAAACACCTTCTCCTGCTTCTCCTATGTGATACTGGGTCAGAGGGCCCAAATATTCCAAAACACCCCAAAAAAACAGCAAAGCACCCCAAAACCATCTTATCCAGCTTCTCCTATGGGATACAGCGTTAGAACCCCAAAACAGGCCCAAACCAGCCCAAAGCCACCTTGTCCTGCTTCTCCTATGGGATACAGGGTCAGAGCACAAAACCAACACAAAAACACCCCAAAACCACACTAAAACACCCCAAAACCACCTTGACCTGCTTCTCCTAGGTTATACTGGGTTACAGCCCCAAAACATCCCCCAAAACTCCACCAAAACCACCCTAAAACACCCCAAAACCACCTTGTCCTGCTTCTCCTTCGGGACACAGGGTAAGAGCCCCTAAACAGCCACAAAACAGCCCAAAACAGCCCCAAAACACCACAAAACCACTCACAAAACACCCTAAACCACCTTAGGATCACCCCAAAACTAATGTGTCCTGCTTCTCCTAGGGTATACTGGGTTAGAGCCCCAAAACAGACCCAAAATATCCCCAAACCCCCTTGTCCTGCTTCTCCTATGGGATACAGGCTCAAAGCCCAAAACCACTCCAAACACTCCCCAAAAACACCCTGTAACACCCCAAAAACATCCTGTAACACCCCAAACCCACCTTCTCATGCTTCTGTTATGGATTACAGGGTCAGAGACCAAAACCAGCCCCAAGATACCCCAAGACTTCCCCAAAACACCCTAAACTGCTCTAAAACCACCTTGTCCTGCTTCTCCTATGGGATACAGGGTCAGAGCCACAAAACAGCATAAAACCACCCCAAAACCACCTTGTCCTACTTCTCCTATGGGATACAGGGTCAGAAGCCAAAATGACCCCCAAAACCACCTAGAACACCCCCAAAACACCCTGTCCTGCATCTCCTACGGGATAGAGGGTCAAACACCCAAACCAGCCCCAAAACAGACAAAAACCACCCCCAAAACACCCCCAAACCACCCCCAAACAACATGGTTCTGCTTGTCCTATGGGATACAGGGTCAGAGAACCAAAACAGCTCAAACCAGCCTCAAACCACCCCAAAACCATTTTGCCCTCCTTCTCTTATTGTATAAAGGGGCAGAGCCCCAATACAGCCCTAAAACCACCCCAAACACACCTCATCCTGCTTCCCTGGGATACAGGGCCAGGGACAAAGACCACCCCATAAACACACCAAAAACACCCTCAAACAACACAAACCCACCTTGTCCTGCTTCTCCTCTGGAATACAGGGTCAGAGCCAACAACGTAAGAGAACAGAGGATGGAAGGTGATAGCGGAATAGACTCCACAACTCGTTAAAGTTGTAAAGTAGGTATGCCTTATTCAGCTGAAGATTGGTCCTATTGAAGGTTGGTCTTATTGAAGATAAGGTATGCCTTATTCAGCTGAAGATTGGGGGGATTGGTCCTCCAAAAGGCATGCGTGCCTCAGTCCCGTTTTCCTTTTACATTTATCCTGTAAAGTCATACATATGTATTAGGTCGCACAATACGCCTATACATATTCAAATTCTATCTCCGCTTCGTATTCTAATGAGCTAAAAGGCTCTCCACGCATGCGCAGTGCCTCCTGGTGGTCTTGGGCAGGGGTCTTCAGATGAAGTAAGTAGTCTTCCTCTTGTGGGTAGGGGTCTTCAAGATGAAGTAAACGAGTCTGCCTCAGGCTTGAACTTTTTACCTCTGGTCCTCACGCCTGCTCTTTAGGAGCTGGATGGGCCTGGTCTGTGTCCAACTGGTTTAATGCGCTATTCCCTTCGTTAGGAGGTTCTATCCTGGTACTGCCTGATAAGGCATCTGCTGAGCTTGTCAAGCCAGCTATAACTTAGGCAGTATCCCCTTGTACAACCCCCCTCTATTCTCCTTATTAGGAGGTTCTTTCCTGGTAATGCCTGATGAGGCATCTGCTAAGCTTGTCAAGCCAGCTATAACTTAAACAGTACCCCCTTGTACAATCCCCCCCGTACATTTTGTCTAACCCCCTTGTACAACCCCCCGTACACAATAGGCCACATCAGTTTCAGAAGGGACCCCAGAAGGTCCCAAGTCCAAGCCGTCAGGAGCAGGGTCAGAGCACACGGTTCAAGGCTTGGTTCAGCGTGAGCTGGAACTCCCCGAGCCCAGAGACTGCACAGCCTGCACAGATGCAGCACTTGCCTGAGCCCATGGCAACAAGGTTGCTTCCTGTCCTGGCTGAACCTCTCCTCTGTCGCTATCCCCCCCTGCCTTTTGTCCTCCCACCAGGCACCATGGGGAGGAGCCTGGCTCTGGATCCTCCATGTCCTCCTTGCCGGTACAGGCAGACAGTCCCCATCAGCCTTCCCTTCCCAAGATCTCGGATCCCCATCAGCCTTCCCTTCTCCTCCCCAGCCTCTCCCGCAGGTGCCATGGGGAGGAGAAGAGAGGTGCTTCTTCCTCCCCGTGGAAGGAAGGAAGGAAGGAGCTTGCCAGTAGCGTTCCTGAACTGGGGATCTGAAGCCTGGATGGAGCATTCCAGAGCATCCCTTCCCTTGTTCTCCTGCCGTGCTCCTGCTCATACAGCCCGCGATGCTGCTCTCCTCCCTTGCTGCCAGGGCACACGCTACCTCCTGTCCAGCTCCGGCCCACCCAGACCTTTCCCATGGGCTGCTCCCAGCCAGGCAGCCCCAGCCTGGGCCATTGCAGGGCAGTTCCCTGCAGGGACCCCTGTGCCCCCTGCTCTCCTGCCCAGGACACCCGGAGAGCTCTGCAGCCCCCCCATGCCATCCCACCTCCCCACTCCAGCACAACAGCTCCCCAAGAGCTCTTCCTGCTCCAGGCACAGAGCAGCCATCCCAGAGCTGGAGCAGCCAGAAAGCTGCTCTCGTTCCCCTTCATTCCTGCCATGGCAGGACTTACCACAGAGAAGAAGCTGCTGCAGGATCATTTACTTTACTCAAATCCATCTGCTGCCTCCGGGCATGGGGCACTGTCAGAAGAGAAAAAGGCAGTGACAGGGTAGGGGAGACTTCTCAGGGTAAAACCAGTTCATTTCCCTTCAGATTTCCACCATCCCCTCACGTTCAAATGCATTTCCCCGTTCCTGGTGCTGGTGGCTGAGTGTGCTGGGTGAAGCCCTGTGGCTCCAAGGCCTCAGCTCTGTGCCACTGCAGGGGTTGCATGGAGCCGCTCTGCAAAAGCTCCAATAGGCATGAGGGATGTCAGGTTGTAACAGAGGTTCAGGGCCTGCATTCACAGCTATGAAGATGGTGGCTGCAGAGCAGAGCCTCGGCGTGACTTTATCAGCATTTTCTCAGAAGTTTCTCAGCTGACAAGTGCTATTTTAGGTGTAGAAATCCTCATTTTTGTAACTGACCGTGTGGTCAGTATTGGGACAGGACAGGGGAAAGGGCTCAGCAGCCCGTGGGTTAGTGCATAGTCTGGAGAGCTGCAGAGTCCATCGCTCTTGCTCCCAGCTGCCTTGCACTTGTCCTTGCCATACCCCAGCTGTGACTGCACACACAGATAAACAGAGAGAGAAAAGGAGAAAGAATGAGATACAGAACAACTGCACTCCTTCCGGTGCCAGGGAGGGAGCCCTGCTGATTCAAACCAGCCCAAAATAGCCCGTAATAGAACAAACCAGCACTAAACCAGCCCAAAACACGACAAAACAGCCCAAACCAACCCAAAACCGCCCCCAAACACCCCAAAAGCAGCCCAAAACAGCCCAAACTGGACCCAAAACAGCCAAAACCAGCCTCAAAACAGCCAAAACAAGCCCCGAAACAGCCCAAACCAGCTCAAAACCAGCCCCAAACCAATCCAAACCAGCCCTGAAACTGCCACAAAACAGCCTAAAACAGCCCAAAACAGCCCAAAACCACCCCCAAACACCCCCTGCACTTCAAAAACATCCTGAATCCCCCCTAAATCACGCTAAAACCACCCCAAATCAACCCAAAACCACTCAAAAAATACCTGCAAAATACCCCCTCCATCCCAAAACACCCTCTCTCCCACAAACCCACCCCAAAACACCCCCTGAACCCCAAAACCACCCTGAAACAACCCTTAATCACACCAAACCCACCCCAAATTCCCCCAAACACTTCAAACCCACCCCAAATCAACCTAAACTCACCCCAGATCAACCCCAAACTACCCCTAATTCACCCCCCAAAGAACCCAAATGACCCTAAACCCACCCCTAAATCACCCCAAACTCACCCCAAAACTACACCCAACCCCTCCAATCAACCCAAACCAGCCCCTGTATCACCACAAAACCCCCCCAAATCAACCCAAAACTACTGCTAAATCACCTGAAACCCACCCTAAATCACCCCAAAACCCAGCCCAAATCAACCCAAAACTACTGCCAAATCACCCCGAATCAACCCAAACCCACCCCTTGCACCCCAAAAACACCCAACCCCCCCAATCAACCCAAACCTACCCCAAATCACCCAAACCCACCCCCAATCACCCCCAAACCATCCCAAATCCACCCTAAATAACCCCCAAACCACCCCTTGCACCCCAAAACCACCCAAACCCCCCAAATCATGCCCCCGGACCAGCTGCTGTTCTGTGCTGACTGCGACCGCGGGTACCCCAGGCACTGCCTGAGCCCCCCATGGCCGAGCCCCCCGAAGGTCAGTGCGGGGGGATCAATGGGGGGCACTTTGGGGGTACCCCCCCGGGTTTTAATTATTTGCAATGGGTGGGGAGAACTTGGGGACCTTCGGTTGGGTTGGGGGGGGGGGGTGTTGGTGGTGCAAAACAAGGGGGGGGGGAAGGGAAAAGAGGGGGTGCCCCATGGGGATTATGGGGTGTTGTGTAATAACGGATGTCGTGGCCACCCCCCCCCCCCATCGTGGTGCTGTTGGTGTGAGCTGTGAGTGTCTGTGATTAAACTGTGACAGAGAGAACCCCCCCGTTATTGACCCTCCGGCACCCAAATGAGACCCCACAAATGGGACACCAGCACACAAAATGGGCCCCCTGCCCCCAAACTGGGACCCGGGTACCCCAAATGGGACCCCTGCCCCTCAAACCGGACCCCAGCCCCCAAACGAAGCTTCCCCCCCCCCCCCGCTCCGTGAGGAAAGGCCCCGCCCCTCACGGGGGTCCCGCGGCCCCCCCGGGCTGCAACGTGCGCATGCGCCGGAGTCCTGACTACAACTCCCAGCGTGCCCCGCGCGGAGAGCCGCGCGCTGATTGGCTGCGGCGGAGGCGGGCCTTGAACCGGCGGTGGGGCCTGTATCCGGCAGCAGGGGGGGAGCAGGGCTGGGGGTGTGCGGGGTCCACGGGGACCATGAGGACATAGGGGTTAGAGCTGAGCTGAAGCAGTGACAATGATGTGTCAGGTAAAGAGCAGCTTGGGCCTGTTCAGTCAGCAAAAAGGGATGAATGAGGGCTGGGTCAGGAAAGGGATGTGTAAGGCATGGCTGCATTGAAGGCTTTACAGAAATCTGCACGTTTCCCAGTACTGGATTCGGAAGTTTGATTGAGGTCCCATTAAATCAAAGTCCTATTCAAGTTCCCTATTTAATCCATAGGAAATCAGCTACACGTGACTTCAACAAACCAGTGGTAAGTGGGGCCTAAGAGTTATTGCGGTCAGGCTTCAATTCACTGAACTTAAAGTGTTTCTTTATCCAAAGTCCGGGACAAGTTTCCTTCCCTTTGGCTGCAGCAGCTCCATTCCAGATGCCCCAACAGCCCATATTGAGCAAAGTTGCATTCCAAGAAAGAGGGCAGGTTCCCTTCTTGACCCTACTCCATTTCTAACCCTACAACATGGAAGCACCTGAGGAGGCTTCCTCAGAGCAGCCAGGGCCATGGGCAGAGGGGAATAAACTATGTTAGGGCAGGCAAAAGCCCTTCAGGAAACAGGCGAAGTTGATTGTTGCAGACACAGGGTGGAGGTAGGGAAAAATGACATCAAAACCCCCTGATTTGTCCTTTGTGCTGCTGATAAAGCAGCACCTTGTCCTGCTTCTCCTATGGAATACATGGTCCGAGCCCAAAAGTATCCCAAAACATATCAAAAAAATCAGTAAACAACCCAAAACCATCTTAGTCAGCTTCTCCTATGGGATACAGGGTCAGAGCCCAGAGTCACCTCAAAGGCACCCTAAAACACCCCAAAAACACCTTGTCCTGCTTCTCCTGTGGGATACAGGGCCAGAGCCCAAAACCAGCCCCAAACCTACCCCAAAACCACCCCAGTAGCTCCCACATCTGTAACGAATTCTTTTCTCTCTGATTTAACACCAATTAAGTTGCTCCTATATCCACTAAAATTCCACTTTATTTCCTCTAGTCCCTAGTTTTCGTGTAACCGGTGGATCTGCTAGCGTAGATTCCCTAGGTCCCCATCAGTTTAGTTCCAGTTCAGTCACCAGAACCACCCCATGGCACTGCCCCCTCCCCCCAGGCAGTCTCACTTCCAGCGTCCAAAACCCCCCATAGCACGCACACCGATCCGGTCCCACAGAAGAGAAGAGCCCACTCCCCCACCTCCTCCCGACATCCCTCCTCCCACACTCAGACACAGGAGCTGCTCGAGCTCCCCCTCTTTCCCCCTTGGTTTTCCCTTTTTTTCCTTCTCACAGCGGCTCCCCCTGCTCTGCAGGGCCTGCAGGTGCCTGCCTCTGCAACACCGCTTCTGGTTTAACCCCTTCTTAACTCTGAACGTGGATGTGCCGCTGGTTGCCAGTGACAGCAATCTCTTCCTCCTTATCAATATCAGATAGGAGAGATGCAGAGAGTGCTCCTCTCGGAGGTACCTGTGGTACGTGATTTTCCACCCTATCTTCCTGATTACTGTTTTTTAACTTTAAACATCTTTCCCCAATGTCACAGGCTGAGCATCTCCAGCTTAACTTTCAGTTTTTCCCTGTCCTTTTCCAAAGCCAAAATTAAGGAATCTGGCAGAGCTATATTAATTTTGCATTCAGTCTGTCACTCCGTGTGATTTCTTAAAGTGAAAAACATATCTGCATACATTACTTCATCCCATTTTCCTTCCCCCTCAGAACAACATCAACTGTAACAATGTATTACAGTTCAGAGTTCCATTTTTAGGCCATTTTTCCTGATCTTCCAAAGTATACAAAGGCCACCATTGGTTACAATATTTTACCAATATTTTCTTATTTACCAAGCCCCCAGGAGACCCTCCAAGTTCTTTCCAGTGTGCCAAAATGCACCCAAAAGATGCATTCACTCTCACAAAATGCACCCCAGATCTCTTCACTCTGCTGATTTTCCATTATCAATCTCACATTCACACACACACACACAAACGGGATCCCCCAGACACACTCCACACAGTTACAACACTTGAGACAGAGACTTAAATTCAACCAGTTAATAACACAGTTATAACATCCTGTCACCAGTACCAAAATCACAAGACCAAAATCATTACTGTAACAAGCCACAAAATAAGATGAATAACATTAATAGGGGAGTTTCCTTGAACGCTCTATAGTTGACCAGCCTGTCAGTGTCCCAGGAAGGACGAGACCCTTGTGTCCGACCAGCCTGTCTGTGCCCCACTGTGGGAACCATACTGGACAGCCCACTGTATCGGAGGGTAATTCGACTAACCTATTCAGGCACCCACGCTGACAGCATCACTGAATCAAATCCTTTATGGGCTATTTATAGCACACTGGACCCAAAACCATTTCCACAAGACACCCCCTGCATCTTGTGGGACCCAAACCACAAGATGCCCCCTGTTTAGTTATAAGAGTCTGTCGCTGATACCAAAATCACAAGACCAAAATCCTTAACATAACAAGCCACAAAATAAATCAAATACCAACAAGATCCAAAACCATTTCCACAGGACACCCCCTGCATCTTGCAGGACCCAAACCACAAGAAGCCCCCTGCTCCTTGTGGGTGTATACCAAACGGATGCCAGCAGCTGGTATATACCTTTACCTACGAGATTTCCTATCTGGATTTACAGAAGGCTTCCAAACCATGCGTACGCTTACCAAACCAATTTACCAAGCCGAGATGCCCCCTGCATCTTACAGACTATAGAAAAGAAAAGAATACCCTTTATGAGATGGTCCTTGTCTGCTCCCGCAGCGATCTGCATGAGTTGAGGGGTCCCTCCGGGAAAAATTCCCGAGGTCCCTAGGGAGCCCTGTCCTCAGCGGGTCCTGCAGCCGAGCAGAGAGGGTCCCATCTGGGGTGCCAAACTGATTCGGAGAAAACTCCAGGAAGAAACTTGCCAACAAAGCTTTCAAGCTGACAAGCAGGTATTCTTTATTGCGGCGCCGGGAGACACGGGGATAACTCCTCCTAACGTGTGTCCCCGTATTGCTATACAAGCCATCCTTTTATAGTTCCTGGGCATACATACATATTCATGAGGCTACGTATGGATTACATCACTTTCCAGAGAGTTCCCCGCATGAGTACAGAATTGTGGTGATGGTCTCTGAGGGTCGTTTACTTCTTCCAACAATCTTCATCACTTCTGGCAGCCTTTGAAGCACGCGCAGTAGATGCTCATACCAGTTTAATTGGTTCGTTAGCACCAGAGACATAATAATCCTCCTATCCTCCTACTTATCAGTTAGTTTACTGTAGCCCATCCTGGACACTTGCAGTTCCCAGATACTCCTTATCCCTGTGTCCTGTTCTTCTAGACTGTTTTTCCTAAAACTATGCCAACTGTAATGATTCATCTTGTGAGAATTCTCAGTACGTTCTCTAGCTGTACTCTATTTTTTTTCTATGTGTCATGCGCCTCAATAATTTTCCATTGCTACTGTTACAAAGCCATCAAACTTAACATTACTTAAAACTGATTCTAAATGTTTTTATATATTCCATTTTGTGATTTTGTGCCCCCTTGTCTCACCAACTCCCTCCCCAATGGCTGTTATGTCGTTGCTGTTATGTCCCTGCTGTCATTTCACTGATGCCAGATCCCAGTCAAGCTTTTCCATAAGGGCACATCATTTTGGGACTAGCCGATTTCCCTTGCCTTCAGAGAGCACTGAGCCCCGGCCCCATGGTCCCTCTCCACGAAGTAGGATGCTGCAGGCCCCTCACTGCTCATGACACCCAATGGCAAACATCATGGAGTTCAACAAGACCAAATGCTCCAGCCTGGAGAAGAGAAGGCTCCAGAGAGACCTTAGAGCCGCTCCCAATGCCTGAAGAGATCTGGAGAGGGACTTTATACAGGGGCCTCTAGTGATAGGATAAGGGGGAGTAGTTTAAACATGACTCATTCCTTTTAACCTGAGTTTAGATTTGACATTAGGTTTAGATTCAACTTTAGGTTTAGATTAGACACAAAAAAGAGTCGACATTACGTTTAGATTGGACACAGGCTTCAGATTAGACAAGAAGACAAGAAGAAGACTCAACATTAGGTTTAGATTAGACACACAGAAGATTCGACATCAGATTTAGATTAGACATAAGGTTCAGATTAGACGAAGATTTGACTTCAGGTTTACATTAGACATGAAGAAGACTCATCTTTAGGTTTAGATTAGACATTAGGTTTAGATCCAATTTTAGCTTAGTTTAGACACAAGATTCGACTTGAGGTTTAGATTAGACATTACGTTTAGCTTAGACATTATAGGCCAATAAAACTGTTGTGTTGTTCATTCACCCTGTGTCCTGTGAGTTGATTAGACTTGTGCCTTTTGGAGTCTTGCCCTGGTCTTCAGAGCAAAACCAAGCCGTGCCTGGAGAACCTATGAGCAAAGCACGGGGGTGTCAGTGAAATGCTGGGTGCACGGCTGCATCCTGGCTCAAATACAGCGTGTTCTGGTGCTGAATAGGGTCCAAGAGGTGCTCTGGCACCCTGCAGCTTTCTGAGGGTGTGAGAGGTTGGAGAAGGAGTTTACTCCCTTGACTTGGAAGCCTTTGTCATCCAAATGGAGAAGGAGATTGGCCAGCAGCTCACCGCAGGGTTTGGGTGTAACATCGACACTGCCAAGCTCTGCATCCAAGGGAGGCTCCACACCCTGAACATCTGCAGGTGTCAGTGCTGCTGTGGACACATCCACATGTCTTTGGGCCATGGATGTGGCCTGGAACACAGCCAATGACTTGTGCAGGACATCACTCACGAGGAGCCTGGCTGTTTCCTGATCAACCACCTCCTTCGCTGTGGGGCTGAGCAGGGCAAAGGCATTCCTCTGTGCCTCTGCTTCTGCCTCTCCTTCTGCCTCTGCTTCTGCCTCCTGCTCAACAAAGCCAGGGGAAGCTGGTACCGCTGCTTCTTCCTCGTCTTGTTCCACAGCAGCGAGAGGTGTGTGGTGCTGCTCTTCCTCAGTATCCGAGAAGACATCTACTGTCATGGCCTCTTCCTGCTCCTCTAGAGACACGGAAGGCACCATGTCTGCTCCAGCCTCGCCTGCTGCTGGGATGAGAGGGGCTGTGCTGGGCTCTACCTGAAGCTCTGCAACCAAGAAAGGCTCCACACCCTGAACATTTGAAGGTGTCAGTGCTCCTGTGGACACATCCCCACGGCTTTGGGCCATGGATGTGGCCTGGATCACAGCCAATGACTTGTGCAGGACATCACTCACGAGGAGCCTGGCTGTTTCCTGATCAACCACCTCCTTCGCTGTGGGGCTGAGCAGGGCAAAGGCATTCCTCTGTGCCTCTGCTTCTGCCTCTCCTTCTGCCTCTGCTTCTGCCTCCTGCTCAACAAAGCCAGGGGAAGCTGGTAGCGCTGCTTCTTCCTCCTCTTGTTCCACAGCAGTGAGAGGTGTGTGGTGCTGCTCTTCCTCAGTATCCGAGAAGACATCTACTGTCATGGCCTCTTCCTGCTCCTCTAGAGACACGGGAGACACCGTGTCTTCTCCAGCCTCGCCTGCTGCTGGGGTGAGAGGGGCTGTGCTGGGCTCTACCCGAAGCTCTGCATCCAAGGGATGCTTCATGTCCTGAACATCTGTAGGTGTCATTCCTGCCATGGACACATCCCCACAGCTTTGGGCCATGGATGTGGCCTGGATCGCATCCAATGACTTGTGCAGGACATCACTCATGAGGAGCCTTTCTGTTTCCTGATATACCCACTCTATCGCTGCATGCAACCGCAGCAACTTGCTGTTGAGGCTGCCCTTGCTGCCCGCTGCCAAAATTGGTGGCAGGGGCTCTGCTACTTGCACAGTTTTCCTCAGTTTTTGCTGAGTTGCTGGGGCCTTTC